CTGCACAGTGACAATGGCTCTCCGGATGCTCGGGATGCTGTCCCCTCCCAGCCCTGCRGCAGCTGGAGCTGTGCTGGGAAGGGGAGGCTGGGGCAGMGCTGGGATGGCTTTCCTGTGGTGTAGGAAGCAGCTGCCTGCAGCTTCCCAGGCAGGCTCGGGTCTGCTGTGATCCTGGGGCAGCCTGAGCTGCTCTCCAGCTGTCCCCAAACCCTTGGCAGGAGCGGCTCTGTGACCTGGAACATCCCARGCTGCAGTTTGGGACTCAGGGCAGGGTTAAACCCAGCCTTTGTCCCATTCCACCAGCCTGCAGAGAGACACCTCAGTGCCATGCTCCAGAACCTGGCTTTGTTGCTGGGAGCTTTGCCCAGGAGGGCCTGGCAGGTTTTCTCCATTTTGGGAGGTGGCAGCAAGGGACAAGAGAAAGAGTCACCCCAAAACAYCCAGCAGTTTGCCCTGAATGAGCAGTTCAGCAGCTTTTTGCTGAAATTCCTGGTGTGTCCTGTGGGTTCTTGCCCAGCTYTCCTGCATGGGCTGTTCTGAAAGAGAGAGAAGACCCTGGAGATTCATCTCCTCCACCCCTGGGTGCTCCCACCCATCCCTTCCCAGCAAAGCCTTCAGGATCCACTCTGCTGATAGCCCCGGGCTTTATAAAAACACCACAGTTACCAGGACACCAYTTTCAGTAAAATCCGATTGTGGATTTCACCTCCAAAGGCTGCCCGAGCTCAAACCCGGGTCGTGCTGCAGCAGACACGTTTGTCTTTCGGTGCCTGAAATAACAAGCAGAAGACATTAATGTCAAGCACTTCCAGCTGACGAAACATTTGGGCTTGGAGCTGGGGTGAAATACGGCGAGGATTTCTCGGGTAGAAATAGTTTTTTATGCTCCTAGCAGGCAGCTTGCTGTGTGCTGTGTGGTTTTATGTCTCGTGTGAGGGAGAGGGAAAAGGGGAGATGTCAGAAGGACGTGCCCCCAGCGCTGCTCTGGTTAGCTTAGATGAGTTGTTTTAACCTCTCTGTGTATATGATTAAAAATTGCTTCAATATAGCGAAAAGCAATAGGAATTGCAGAGTGGGAATGTGAGATACTGGCTTGAAATGCTCTCAGCCTTCTCCCATCRAGTTTTCTTTATGGGTGGAGAGCACCTTCTACAGGAAATGGAGCTAATCCAAGTGAAAAACTTAGCACGTTTATTAGCCCTTTTTTGTGTTGAGCAGTTCAAGCATTAGGAGGATTTAACACACTTTTAACCCCCAAAGATCACGTTTCATGATTCCTATAAATGTTTATATAACCTCCGGCCATGTTCAAGTGAAATACAGTTTAAAGAGAAATGAAGCCCCTTAGCCAGTCTCTGAMTGAAACCCTGAAAAGCAGCACAGAAAAAGCCAAAATACCCAGGATGACACCCCACTGTAACTCATTCCTGTCAGACACAAGGACCAGGCTCAAAGCAATCCCCATCTGCTTCTTGCACTCAGCAATCTCTCCCCATAAATTGATTTGTCACGGCTACCTTGGTGCAGAAGCTGGACAAATTTTTGATTGAATCCAGCTCYCAGAAGTGGACAAACGAGCGAGATGGCACCAGAAACAGATAAATGAGGGGYTTACAGTGCTTAACAACCCAAAAGAAAACTGGTGCCAGGACAGTTCAATGTGATTTTTACGCTGGGATGCTGCAGCAAGAGGCCAGACTCCAGCTTGTGATGCTTGGGAGCATCAGCTGAATCCTGATATTTACCCAAAAGCACAAATGCTGCCACTCGGATGCCCTGTAAACAACTTTATCAGCTGTTATGCAACCAAGCAGCCAGACACCRTCACCAAAAAAAGAACTGTTTTATAAATCAGCTCCTCCTCTGCTTTTCCACAGAGCAATAAAAGCAGAGCAGCACCAGCTCAGCTTCCTGCACTCCTGGTTACAGCCGTAGGAGTGAATTGCTGCTTGCAGCAGCTTCACTGTCTGTCCAGCTTGAGCCTTATCTGCTGTGCTGATAGGGGCTTGCAAAAGTTATTTCCAAGGACAGCTCGACCTGCTGCACAGGGCTCTGGGTAGATGGAAAATGTGGAGATGCAGAGGGGCAAAACTTTGTTTCTTCTCTGTGTTACCCAGCCTGGAAGCATCATCTTATATTACCCCTTTGAGCACCTTGGAATGATCTTTTCCCCTGATTTATCTGGCTGCTTAAATGTTGCATTTGAGTAGTGTGGGAGAAAAAAACCCACTGATCCCTACAGCCATGTGCTGCTTTTCCTGAGATTTCAGCTCAGCAAAACCACAGCTTGGACAAATTTATTGGGGTTTGAGGATGTCTGAGATGAGCCAGCAAATTTGAGCTGGCAGAGCCAGCGGGTGGCAGGACGGAAATTTGGGGCTGCAGTTCCAGGTGACAAAATGACAACTCCTTGCCAGTTCTTGCTCTGCCCAGAGGATCTGTGCTGTCTGACTCTTTTCCCTTCTGGCACAGGGCTGAGGTTTGGCAAGGGTGAAAGTGCCCCTGGAGCACCGATAAGCTCCGTGCAGCCGCTGCCAGAGGAGGATGTGGAAGTTTCCTCCCAGCACTTTGTTTCTTATTGTGTTGCTGCCTTCCGAAATTGCCGGGCACTGGCTTTCTCACATCCGGGAGAGGGGTTACATCATGGCATATTTAGGAAGAAAGAGTCAGGAATAACTCCTCCTCTCCTTAGCCTTTGGCTTCCCCAGACCCCAGCTCTGTGCTGGAGCCTTGGTGGGGCGTGAGCTCACCCCTGACTCACTGCTGATAGCTTTTAACGCAGCTCTGATTTGAAAGCTTTTAATTGCCTGCCCCATGTCTGCCTCAATGAATTGTTTCACCCGAGCTCCATCCCTGAAACCACTCAGGATGAGTCAGGYCAGCCCTTTGGAGACCTCTGTTATTTTATTGGAGTGCAGGCCGTGGATCTGTTTCCTGGCTTTTCAACCCCTTCAGCAGAGCTCTGGGTGTTGCACTCAGTGATTATGCAATGAGAAATCAAGTCGTCCCCACGTGTTTTTTTCAGTTTTGTGAGAAATCAAGTCATCCCCACRTGTTTTTGCAGTTTTGTGAGGGCTGAGCCTTTTTCTCTGCTGTACAGAAAGGTGGTAGCAGGAGCCTGGGATTTCAMAGCTGTTACAGGCAGGCATTCAGTAGCACAAAAAGTGCTGTTTTTTCAGCTTTAAGATGTGTATATATTCTGTAAACCAACATTCTGAGTAAAGCATCACTCACTGTGGCTAAGTTTGCCTTTTCCACTTATTCCTACAGGTGTTTTACGTCTCAGATCTCTTCAAGCCCAAGACAAAGACTTGCCTGCCTCCACCTCCCATCCGGAAGGAGATCCTTTCACCTGTGGACATCATTGAGAGGAATAATCATCACAACATGGTGTAGAACTTCAAGGAATCGGATGGATGTTGTATTTTTAATTTTTTTTTTAAATTTTTTTTTTTTTTGGCAAAAAAAATAGTGACTGCTGACAGCAACTACCTGCTGCTCTCAAATCTCATCAGACAGTAGAATGTAGGGAGAGACTTTCTTGCCCAACCGGTAAAGTCTTACTCTGTGGTCTTTTCAACTTGAGACATTTGGATGAAAAGGGGGGGTGGTGGTCAACTAAGGCAAAGGCGACGACGAGAAAGGAAAAAACAGCCCACACAACACAAAAAAAAATGAACAAACAAAGAGAGGTGCCGGAGTTCTGGATGTGCAATTGGTTTGAGTGTTCATGTTGTAGTGARCGCCAAATTGTTCCTAGCCCAACGAACACTTAAGGGATTTTTGGAAAGCTGGCCATCCTAGGTTTTTTTCTGACTACGAAGATTTCCGATGCCTGCGAGAAAAAAGAAAAAAACCAACTCACGATTAAATTGTATAGCACTACGTATGAGCAACAGCACTGAGTCAAGATCTGGGATTGGTTTCTAAGAGTTGCTTTTTTCTCTTTTTGATCCTAGTTTATTTTTGCCTCCTCTCTTCCATACTGTGACTTACTTTAGAAGAAGCTTGCCCAGYCTGAGATCTCCAAAGGGTCTCTGTTCTCTCTGCCCACACTTCAGCCTTTAACGAGCGGCCCCGAGACGCGCAGCGAGGCCGAGAGCTCCTTGATCCGTGCAGAGAAGCCACATTTCTTCCTCCCCGCTCGCTCCCTGGCGAGGGCTCACCCCATCTGAGCCCCTCTAAATGAAAAGAGCATCCTCCACTTTCCCCCAAAAAATCCCAGCAGGTTTTGCTCGCGTGGGGAGCGGCGGCTCTGCCGAAGACTCGTTCGCACTACGACCCCGGGGCTGAGTCCCGGGGAAACTTTGATTCTGCAGTTTTGGGACGGGCTGCTGGGCGGCACGTCCCGGCCTGGTGTCAGTCGGTTTGTGCATCCCCTCCTCATCCTCCTGCTCCTCCTCATCMTCCTCCTCCTCCCCGGGCACTCCGGGGTGCATCACCCGGTCCTGTGCTCGGCTGGCTCGCACCGAGCTGGGCCATCAGCTGTGCCTCTCTCTCGGGTGTGATGATGGAATTTTATTTTTTTTTTTACATTTTTTTTTTGGCCCGGAAGCCACAGGTCCTGGGTTTGCAGCCCTTTCACGAAGCGCGTTTGCAAAGGGATCCCGCAGAACACGCAGAACGGCCATTTGCACATCCTTCTCACAGAATCCGTCCTATCATTTCAACTTATAGCAAGCTATGATTTTTTTTTTTTATATTATAAATATTATATAAATAATGTATAAAACCTTAAAAATTAACTATGTAAAATATTATTTCTGAAACAATTTTAGATATATCCACTATGACTATAAACTGTGTCTTGACCTGTGTTATTTACATTTTGCTGCTTAAAAAAGCATTGAATTAATTTTTTTATAGTCGACTAAAATATTGTAGTTCTGTGGTAGTAATATTTTAATGAAAATAACTACAATTAGAGACATTTGTATAAAAAAAACATATTAAATTGTCTGTATTTTTGTAATGTTCCATTTTGTAAAGAGAAGAATATTCAAAGACTTTTGTAGAATACAAAATTGAAGTTTGTATCTGCGAAATTATTGCTGTATAAATGTGCTTTTTAAATAAAAGCTCATAACACAACTAAACACCCCCGTGCAAGGTGCATTCTGTCTTTGGGTGGCACTTTCCTTGCCAGAGAAGCAGGGAGACAGTTTGGGGGTGTCATGTGGATGCTGGATGATATTTTGGGATGTGATGGCACAGGAGGCAACAGGGTTGAATCCTATAATGTGGATAAAAAGGACCAGATGCTGTTTTTGATGGGAGGGATGAGAAGGTCCCACCAGCTCCTGGCTGGGGACACTTAAAGGGTTTGAGTTGATCTTCTCTTTGCTGTGCCCAGTCTTTGAGCAAATCCATTCTTACTGATGGCATCTCTTTTTCTTTAGCAATCTTACAAGCTTTAAAGAAATATTTTTGAAGTAGAATAAGGTGTGAAGAGCCACAGCCCAGCTGCTGGCTGTCCTGGACAACCCCTGCCTAGGAGAGCTCCCAGCTCCTCTCTGCACAAACACCTTTCCCACAAAATGCAGCGACTTCACAGCTGAACCAAAGCCTTGCAGCTTGCTGGGCTGCAAATGTGGGTGGAAGGGGAAAAGAATTAAAAAAAAAAAAAATCCCACAACAACATGTGCTCAGAGAGGCACATGTGCACAGCACACAGTTACGAGGCAGCCTGGATTTGTTGGGTTTTTATTTTTTTTATTATTGTTATTTTCCTCCTCCTACAGAAGCAAATGAACTCGTTGGTGGTGACACACGGTCGGAACCRCGTTTCGACCACTCCTTGGGTGAACCACATCAGCGAGATAACACGGCACCGAAATAATATGCAAGAATGCATGACAGGAAGCAAATACCACATCAAACTGCGAAGAGAGAGCAGGTGGAAATTAAGCCAGCAGAACTGAGCGAGCACTCACTATTATTATCCTAATTAGAAGTAAAATTTTATTGCGCGTGGAAAAACTTTGTGAACCCGCACCTGTCCTTAAACGCGAAGGGAGTTTTCGTGGTGCCACGTGTGATCCGAGCCTAAGTGTTTGGGGGTTGAGTGTGCTGCAGGGGTGAGRCTTCAGCTTCGGGGCAGTGAGGACAGACTGTTAATYCCCAGTTTATCTCCAGAATGCATTRCCTGGCTCTGAGTAACCCCCACGGGACAAGGAAACGCTGCGGCGTCTGCCTGTGGAGCACYTCACGTGCAGAGCTGGCCCCGGTGCAGCAAGCACTGAACTGAGAAAAGTGTTTGCTCGCATCTTAACCCCAGCTACTTGGAAAAAAAACAGGAATACAGATGTCTGGGTGAAAGAGGAGGGCTTGGAGAAGGTCAGAGGGGAAGCGGCACCGGAGGTGATAAGAGCCAGGGCAGGGCAGTGGGGCCGGCGAGTCACGGGATCCCATTCAGGATGGGTGGGACAGCTTGGGGACAGGGGGAAAAGGCCATGGATAAACCCATGGAAGGCAACAGGTCAAACCCTATAGCGTGGGGCTGAGCATCAGCAGTGCCAAGTCCTGTTTGTGGCTGAGCTGTGGTCGTTTCCTCCTGTGCTTCCTGSCCTCCTCTCCGTGCTGTCCATTTCCATCCCATCCTGGGAATGTGGGCACAGCTTTGCACGGCAGCTCGTGCTGGGGCTCACCCCTACTCACTGMCTGGGGATTAAGAGAAGGAATCATTTCTGGAAGCGTGGGTGGGAAAAGGGCAGGTCCATGGGGACCTTTCTGGACCAGCCAAGCACAGAGGAATATTCCAGTGCAACAGGAGAAACAAGGACTGATTTCAAGTGAGTGTTTCAATGAAAMCCCACAAAGAAGTGGAAGCCAAAGGAGCCGTCATAGATACCACAAACCATGAGTATGGTGGCAGAGTTTATCCACTGCCATTGCTTCCTGTGGGACAGGAAGGAAGACAAATAAAAATAGGTGAAATGGAAAAAATTCCAAGCCCAAGCCCATAGAGTGCCACGATCCTGAGGCCACCCCTTTGTGCAGTGTCTGCAGGTGCAGCTGGAGCTTGCACCTTGCGCTGCTGCACCGTTTGGTCCTTCCTGCCGGGATGCTGAGCAGCAGCAGATTTTGGGGCTTTGCCTGCTGCTCTCCCTGCGCTCTGCAGCTCATCCTGGCGCACAATCCCAGATGCAAACACGCCGTGGTTGTGGCTCTCGGTGCTGCAAAGCCCCGGCTCTGCTCATGCCGATGCCGATGCTAATCGGGGCTGCGGAGCACCCAGCCGTCTGTCTGCCTTTGATGCTGGCACAGCCTCTCCGCACAAGGGGACGGTCTGGTCAAACCTGTCTTGTTCTGCACACAGACCGGTCGAGCACGTTTTCAAAGGCAGGGGTTGGTTCGTGCACCTGACTGCCATGGGAGCTGGCCCTTTGTTCCGGGGAAAGGCAAGGGAAGGGAGGTTTACGCAAGCCCCGGCTTCGGCCGTGTCTCGGTGGAACCCAAACAGCTTCACTCAGCAAGAACGCCTTGGCAGCCGGCAGGGGCTGGGGCTCCTGCACCTCTGCTCAATGAATTTTTGGATATGGAGCTCTCAGTCGAGGGAGGGGGAGGGAGGAGATCCACCCCACAAGCACAGACCTGTTTCTCTCACGCTCCAAGCCTGCCTTGTTTTGGGTGTCCAAAGGTTTCACCCAGCTCTTTGTGAAGCCGAAACCAAAGTTCGGCCGTGGAGCCAGAGGATGTGCTGGGCTGAGGTCCTGCTGCACAGGAGGGCTGATATCAAACTCACACCCGTGGCAGGGGTGCAGCATAATTGTCCCTGGAGCCATTTCAGCTGCATTTTCCCTCCCCTACCTTCATCCACGTTCTCCCCTCAAAAGACAAGCCATCCCTCCCTTGCGTTTACCTTTTCCCCTGCACACCAGAGGTTCAGATTTTGGGAATGAAGTGAATCACTTGCCTCCTGGCTTCTGTAAACACRGTCCACACACCTGCCCACAGAGAGGAGCTCCTGCCCATCTCCTCCAGACCTCCCTACCATTGTTCCCCGGTGCCAGGCGATGCTCTGGGCACAGCCCCGGCTGCTTGGATTACAAAGCAAAAACCGAACAGAAGCTGCCACCTTCACTGAAGGGAAGSAGAAGGCAAAAAACAACCTCCTGTTGACTCAGCGTGGGGGGTGGRGGAAAGAAAAGACACACAAACAAACCCCAAAACCCAACAACTTTCAATTATCACCTTTGCACGCCACCCCCACTGGCACCAGCCGGCGCGGGAGTGCCCGCCTTAGCTCGTCTCGAGTTACGATTTCCTCGGGGCACAGACTACACCTCTGTGTGTGTGTGTGTGTTTGGGTAACAATGATCCGACTGGCTGTGAGGAATCCCCGCCTCGTCCTATCTGTAGCTAGAAGGGAGCGAAGTCACCGGGAACATCTCCCAGTTTCCTTAGAAAGTCTCGTTCTGCGAGTTCCGAGTGCCACCRCGGCCGCACCTCGCAGGCAGCGCCGCTTTTAATATATATAGTGCTGAGGCCTGGTGGAGCGTTTAATTTCTGTCTTGAACACAGAAAATAAACATATTGCCTTCTCTTTTTTTTATTTCTTATTTATTTTTTTTATTTCTCAGCGCCCATGAAGTGCGAGGCTGCCGGGTAATTCAGCGCTGGTGGCGAAGGGCTGAGCACCTGCGGCGTCTGAAGGCATGAACTCGGCAGGGTTTGATCTCACTTGGTGCACAGGGTTCATAACCAGCAGGAACAATGGGCTGTTATTTAAGAAAAACATCTTTTAGCGTTTCCACGTGTCAGCAGAAAGCTGAGGGGCAGAACCACCAAAAGGCCAAACTGTGTGCGCGAGCAGATCCACGGATGGCATGAGTGGGAATTGTGGTGGATTCAGCCTTTGAAATGATTCAAAATATACCAAAACTTGAAATAAAATGTGACTGCTGTTTCCCACCTGAAAAATGAATGAATTGAAACCAAGCCACCAGTTGGTTTTTACAGGAACTGGTGTTAAAAGCTGGGCTTTCCCACCACACTTTGACATCTCCATTTCCAGGTGTGCAGTGTGAGAGCGTGTGAGCCAAGGTCAGCCTGAGATATAAATTAAATAAAGGAGCATTTAATTCTTGCTGGGCTGATCTTTGCCCTGGAGAAACATCGTGAAACGAAATAGAAAGAATGGTTCTGTTTCACTGTGGAACTCTGAAAGAAAATAAAATGTAAAAAAAAGAGAATAAAATCTAAAAAAAAAAAGGAACAAACACTCTTTTTATCCAAAGAAGAAAGGCAGCCACGTCTCCTGAAAGCCCCATCCTTTCAAAGGGACCTGCCTTCCGCACAAGTGCATAATTTGCTTATTTTCAAAGAAATTTTAGCAATGTTGAAGGCAAATTAATAACACCGCTCCAGCCTCCCAGGGCTTGTCTGAACAAGAAAAGTTGTTAATGTTTAATAAGAAGTAAAATTTTAATCCATTTCATTAAACTGTGCAGATATTCTTAGTTCATTTTTAAGCAGGATTAGCAGTGTTTACCTCAAGTCAAGTAAGCACAAGTAAAACTGATATAAGCCTCGCTTAAATTAAAGGAAGAATAACTACCAAGGCTTAGGGGAGGGAGGGAAAAGCCCRTTGAAGCTTTTATTTAAAACAAAAAAAAAGGGGATTTTTTTTCTTCTTTACAAGGTATTTCTTTCCATGGGAAAACAATAAAACCCAGAAAAAACCTATGAAAGTTTTGCTTGTAAACGATGAGACGATTGCAGCTGAAAAAACACTGCTTAATTCAGGAGAGGTAATTCTTTTCAGCAGGGCCTCGAGTGGATCTGGGGGGAGTCTGGGCCTGTTAGAGGTGGCAATTCCAACTCATCTGTCCAAGAGTGACCAACACTGACCATCAACAAATAATGGTGCTCCAACCCTCACTCAGGAATTATCCAGCAGCTCTTGGTTCAGCCTTGTAGCCTATGGCCAAGGTACTGCAAGCCCTTTAGGAAGAAATCCAGGCTCGGTGTGAAGGTGCCAGGTTAAATTGGATTTACCACATCCCTTGGCCAGCTGTCCCACCAGCTCGTTGGCCTCACTGTTAAAAATATGTTAA